ATGGACGTCTGTCAACACAGCAACTGTGAAGGCACATGAGAAGCACACATGGAGCGTTCAGCATTATGATACATTGTTGAATGTTAACATTCAGACTCGTATTATACTATTAATTGCTGTGGGTCATGCAAACAGCTTATTCTACTATTATATTCTGAAAGAAGATTTTTTTAGGATAAGGATAGGATGTTATCTTTAGATACAGTGCACTTGGAATATTTGTCAACTGGAGTTTCTCGTGGCCTTTCTCCTGCTTTCAACATGCGCTGAACACAAAGCACCCAGCCAATGAACAGGTTGTTAGTAGGGGGAGGGAGAGGGAGGCCGTGGTCACACGGCCCAACATGTCCTCCACCTGTGGGAAACTTATTTAGGAATATTTTTTTATGTATACTATTTCAATATTATCCTATTTTGTAATCTGAAAACCCTCTTTGATCCGTGTTGGACAATTTTCAATGAACCGCTGGAGGACACTCCAGTGGACAGTGGAATACTCTCGTTAAGATTTAGGGTTGGACAATGGAGGCTAACCGCTTATTGGACAAAGGAAATGGAGAGGCAGCTAATGGCTGTAGGACTTGCTAATGCCAGTAGAAACACTGCCATCGATCACAGAAGGACACTGAGCACAGTGGTGGGGCCGGGTCCATGGAGTCAGGGTACGTCGTCACTCCACCTTTGTTGTTGACAGCCAAACGTAAGATCCAAAAATATGGTAAAAGAGTAATTGGTCCAAATAAAACTGTACTGTCATAGTAGCATTTCAGCTTCTAGGGAAGATGCATATTTTAGGAGAAGAGATAAATTAAGACTTTTTATTACAATTATACAATTACAATTAATGAGTCATTCTCTCAGCTTTGGGCAACTTTGGTCCGTCGCTACACGTAGAGCTCCCTCAGAAATGAATCCCTGTGGTGGTGCCGGAGGTTGTTCCAAAGTCTTATCTGGAGAGCAGAGGGGGGCTTTAATTTACCTCTTGGAATGCCGTTCAGGCAACAGGTTTTATAATTGATAATGTAAGTGGGCGCTGCGTGGTGGATGGCGTTAGTAGCGCTGAGATGTAGGCGGGAGCTTGTGCCTCATAAGTGCTGAAAAGAGACTCAAAAAACACACCTTTTCACCTCCCGACTGAGGAGCTCACTCATACTGCCTTTAATGACGGGTCACCACTTCCACCACGATTTCCTTTTTTTTCTTGGGTTAGTTTACGCCACAGTTTGACAGTTGTCCCACAAGCCCCTACAAATAGCACTAAACATTAAAGTTTGTTCAAACCAAATGGATAGGGTGCAGAAGTAAATAAAGTTAGAGTTTTGCTTTTGGGGAGGAAGCGGTCGTGTCCCGAGGTGAAAAGGTGACGCAACGTTAGCGACCTCGTCCCTGTCCTCCCCTCTCAGGAGGCGGACGCCAAGTAACAACGCGGGATTTGTATTCTGTCCACTCAGCACTTTCCTGGCATATAGCCTACGTTAAAAATGACTCACGGTTCGGGGGTTTGGGGGGTTGATGGAGTTGTTTTTTAGGGGTGGGGTGGTGCGGGCGGGGGGAGCAGAAGGAGTTCTGAAAGAACACTGCGAAGAGAACTTTCTCGGCGTCCTGGAAAAGGTGCCCTTGAACTGCAGATGCTTCTGAAGCGCCGAGGAGTGGTGCGCCGGCCCGGATTTGAAGTCTCCGTTTGAAGTGTCTTTCCTGAGCGGAGTCTGTGCTCTGACTCCCTGAGTCGAGCTAAGCCCGTCTTAAGCAGAGGCCCGGGCTGTCTCCTCCTGCCTTCTCCTCCCCTGCTCCCTCCGGGGGAAGGCTTGCTTTCTGTTTCACCACCTTGTGTGCTGCCACAGCATACTAATGGTTTAAAAGGAGCCAGCGTGGGTTCTATATATTAAAAAGAAGGAGGGTTGTGGAGGCCGCCGAGAACCAGGCCGACTAACGGCGCCCGTTTGATGGTTTGTTGGTGAGATCATGGCTTATTAACCATTTGTTTTATCACAATAACACGGCTCGCTGATTGTTGCCTTTCATCTCAAGATTCCATTGTGGGTTTTTTTAATCAATGATTTGATGGATATAAAATACAAACAGCAATACTTAATTGACTCTAATTGATTCTAATAGTCATACATTTGCTGGTTCCAGGTACTCAAATGTGAGAAGATTCCCAGTGGCCTCTGGAAACTAGAATTCTGGATAGATTTATCGGCAAAGACTATAATTGGTAGTTTGAAGCAGCTCTTTTTGCACCGTGTGTTTGCATTCCATTCAGAGTATTAATCCGTCCTCCGTTAACACGTCTGAAATATTCCAGCTCTTACTGCACGCTGCAGCCAGCTCTTACCGGCACGGGACATGTAATCACATGTATCGTTTCTGCACTGGAAGTACCGATCGTTACGTAACAGCTATTCAGAGTTATTCAGCCGGAGCGCTTCCAGGCGCTCGCGCTGTGCGTTGTGCTGCAGGAAATCTCGTGTGCCACATTTTCCAGTCCTCGATGTGAAACGGCTCTTGTTTGTCTTTCTCTCGGTCTGTTAAAAGTTTTGAATCGGAGCCCTTTGCTCCTCTAGAAATAAATAAATGTATGTAAAAGAGCGTTGAGGAGCACGCAGCTGGCATTCTTCCCAGCGACGGGTCACATGTGTGTGTGTTCCAAGGGGAGGGCGCATGTATTCTATTTCCAGAACCCATGCTGAGCCACTTTAATCCCCCCTTCCTTTCCTCCTCCACCATGGGGCAGAAGAGAAAGAAAGTCCCCCCCCCCCAAAAAAAAAAAGTTAGCCTACCCCACCAAGGGGTTGCAGGGATTGAGTTGCAGGTTTACCAAAAATAGATTCCCTGACAGGAAAAGCACCGTGGGCTCACAGACGGGAGGTTTGGTAGAAACTGCACAGGAGAAAACTAAATGAAAATTAAATCAGACATTTGACTGAGGTAAGACCTCATGCTGTGTGTTTGTGTGGGCAAATGTGCAGAGAAGTGCGTGTGTGTTTGTGCGCATGCTGTTGCAGCTGGTTCTAAACACACAATGATGCTTTTTTGTCATCATCTTTTTTGGTGTGCTGCACAGAAATCTCTTACTTAGTCTTACTCGCAAGAAAGGCCGTATTTGGCCAAGATATGATTGGAATAATGCCTCTTCCTGTCTGGATACATTGAAATGGTGCACATTTGATGACAAATAACACCCTTAGTTAACATAAACCTTGGCTTCTCCTGTGATGTATGCAAATGATGCCCTCCTTGGTAATAATAATAATACAATTATGTGTAAAATACCAGGGAGAAAGCTCTGCAGCGTAATAAAATAATCTTTTTTTTTTCTCCCCAAGCTTAAGCTTTGCGTGTGTGTTTGCGTACAGTTCAGTGTGTACTTGTGTAAACGCGGTGTGAAGAGCAGGCCGGTGGGGGTGTCGGGGTGTGAATCGAACAGTCTCATGTGGCGGTGGGCTTTCTTTAACCTTTTCAACCCGCCGAAACCAACACACTCAAACCGGCATCAGCTTTATATGTTAAAAAATCCTAAAAGTTACCATGACACCACACATGCCAAGTTGAATTATGTCACGCGGCAGGACGTGGACGGCATCTCAAATTATCAGTTTGATGTGATGGTAAAGCACCACGTGTTTGGAGAACGTCATTCAATGGAAGCGATCCATGGATCCTAGCTTCAAGCAAGGACATCTCTTTTTTGACTTTTAAGCCATTTAAAAGGAATCAAAAATCCAAGTGTGAGGTGAATTGGAATGCGAGGAGCCACGGCAGAGAGTGTGTGTACATTCCTGTGTGTACAAATGCACGTCCATGTAGTGTATCTGAGTCTGCATCAGACGGTAAAGCTAATGCCGAAGTGCCCTGAACTTGCATTCTCTCTGATGGCCACCAGGGGGCGACTGTAGAAAGGAGTCAGATTATGTAGAAGTCTATGGGAAATTGACTCCACTTTTCTCTTGATGGACTAACTCAGTAAACACTGTAAACATGGGTTTATGGTTCTATCTCTAGTTTCAAGTTTTCTTCAATAAAGCATGATGTCAATAATGAGAGTCAAATCGGCCATAATTATATCGGAAAATCTGTACTACTTGTTTGCCCAACAAAAGTTTATACGCCCAAACAGGTTTTAGCGTATCATACTTAATAAAACAGTGGTGGATGTCGTCTGTGGCTCTGGAGGAGATTTATGTTGTATACGTAGGCCAGGGATGTTCTAAGTTGTTCTAGTAAATTGCTGAGGTGGTGTCATCATTTCTCACATTCTCACACACGCTAAATCACGTGCATGTTTTTTTTTATATTAACTAATAGTTTATAGTCAGAAAACAGTCCAAAAAAATACACATCTTCGTTAACTCGAGCCCCTGGTAAAGTTTCTCCTTAAATGAATTTAGCCTTATTTATTAGTTGTGTATTCAACCTTTTCTGCCCCAGGTGCAATGTCCACTTCTTCCCTTTAACAGGATGGTGCCAATCGCGAGCTTCAAAGGCTCCTGTCTCATTTGCTACATCTAGTGTTTTAGTATGACCCTCCTCATCCTCCCAGCATGGTGCTAGTTAGGATACTTAGCCTCCTTTCGCTCTCCCCTTTAAAATCACAGGTCACTTTGGGAGGGAGGGAGGCAGAAACGTAACACCGACTCTGGGCTGCAGCTCTCACCGCCGCTAAAACAAATGCCGCCTCTTTATTCCGCTGTACTGTTGAATTTTGCAGGACTTATGCTAGCGCCGAACATTTGGGGAGCAAGCGGGGCTTGTCTGGGGCATAAATAAAAGACAAGCCGGGCCGGAGCGGTGCGGGATCCTGCTGTGCCAGATTTAGATCAGAAACCCGAGTGAGGAGACCATCTGCATCGAGTGTCCAGATCTAGTTGTGCGTGCATTCAAGCACTCCTCTAGCCCGCACCCAATAGATAGAAGTCATGCGCTAACTGTGCTAAGGCGCGTGCGTTTCTGTATCACTTCTGCATTGTGACCGGTCGTCTGTTTGTGTTTTGTGTGTGTTGATGTTCCAGCTGAACTCCCCGATGAACTCGGTCAGCAGCACGGAGGACATCAAGCCCCCGCTGGGCCTCAACGGCGTGATGAAGGTGCCCGCCCAGCCCTCTGGCACGGTCCTGTCGCTCACCAAACACATCTGCGCCATCTGCGGCGACCGATCCTCAGGTGAGAGGCGCCCGCCGCGCGACCCGGTGCGGCGTCAGCATGGAAAGCCGTGTGAAGGGTGCACAGTGTAAAAGTGTGTGAGGTTGAATTATTCGACCCTATAAATATACTCAGGTTCTAAAGATGGGAGTTCATTTGAGGTAACTATCTAAAAGGGGACATGAGTCGCAGCCACACCAGGAATCATGTAAGATTTAGGGTGGCATCGTGGGAGAAAGTACAAAAATAATCTCAACAGCTGGGCCTATGCAGCTCCTCCCTCAAGCTGGGGCTCTGACCGCACCGAGAAACCTCCTCGGAAGAGCTCCGGTCAGAGGACAGCCCCTCTGGCAGAGCAATGCGCCGCACTTCCTTTGCTGTGGAAGGACAACAGTCAGTCAGTTCTAGGCTGGATGTCGAGGAGGCCGGAAAGAAGCCGCTCCTGAGAAACTGCACACAGCAGCATGTGCAGAAGGCCCATGACCGAAACTGACATCGAGAGGCAGGAAATGGCCTTTATCACGGATGAGAAAGTAAACCGATGACGGGTGCGGGTGGGGGGGGGGAATCAAAACATTGTTGAGTAGCAAATCCCGCTTTATTTAACAGTGCTCGGAGGCTTTGTACGTTTCTGATGTGTTTCTCCATCACAGATCCCACTTTTGTTCTTTTTGACGAACCATCTCCCCCCCCCCCCCTCCACAGGTAAACACTACGGGGTTTACAGCTGCGAGGGCTGCAAAGGGTTTTTCAAGCGGACGGTACGCAAAGACCTCACCTACACCTGCCGCGACAACAAGAACTGTGTCATCGACAAGCGCCAGAGGAACCGCTGCCAGTACTGCCGCTACCAAAAGTGTTTAGCCATGGGCATGAAGAGAGAAGGTACAGCACATACCGTAGAGGATAAAGTCCCACTTACCCACCACCCCTCACGTATCTACTAATCCACGTAGACATTTTCACCGTGCACACGTTGTGGCTCCGTCTGTTCAATGTGGGTTAAAAGTGGACATGATGAAACTGTATGCAGAGGGGCAAATGTGGCGCACCGGAGACGTGACTTTTCTCTGGCTTCCTAGAAGTGAAGCACCTGTATCTAATTATTACACGTAAACTTCCAGCAATACTTTAATACATCATACGCAGTGCGTTGCAGCCATTGGCTCTGCCGTCTCGCCCCTCTCCAAAGGAGACTTCTCCTTCAAGCACTTCTTTTGAAAGGAAATGATGCGTTTGGCCGTACCAGCTACAGGAACGGCGGCGTGCTGGTTGCCGAGCGGGGCTCCGTGAGACCTGGCAGAGAAATGAAAACATACCAGTGGCGCCCTCGCACTCCCGATTACTTGCATGAACTCGACGTTTGCGTGGGACTGCCTGGCGATCCGCGGTGAACACACTCGCTCCCACAAACAACAGATTTCTTGTGCTTAAGATACTGAAAAAGCCCAACTCAGTCATATTGGATATCATATTGTTTTGTACGGCATGGGGGGGAAAGCGTGCAGCGCATCTCTCAAATTAGAGGCCGCCGATGGGCCGCGCCTACCGCTGCGAAAGGACGCAGGGACCTAATCAGTCGCACGGCGAGCCCACATGTACAGAACATGCGACCGCGGAGGACGAGGCCACTCATTAAACATTCGCTTTGAAATCACATCTTTAGTCTTCTTTAGCAAGTGTGGTTTCTAACCCTCTGGGAGGAGGACAGCAGCACAGCAACCAGTGCATTATCGATAGTTTGAAAGGAGTTGTTCATGATGCAACGTTCCTGCAAACTTAAATGACTCTTCTCATAGTACAGAAACCCCGTCCTCTCATAGTACAGCCTGTCCTCAACTGTGACATTTAAGGTGTGACTACCGTGAATGTCATACTGGAGTCCCTCTCCGCTACAAGTCCTCCGACATTGAGCTTTTAAACCTCCTTCTTGCAACTTCCACGTCCAATGAGTTTAAAATAGGCCAACAAAATAATTATCTTATGAAGGACAGTCTTACCTTGGTCAGCGTTCCCGGGGGAGGCCAACTGATGAGTACTTCAACAAGGCATCACGTCACATTTATAGCTTGTCTCAGCGGAGGAGAGGTAGTTTGTGATTGATCCTAGCCTAACAACTCATACCGCTCAGTTTGAATCCTCCACGACTCGATTTCTAGTGGCTCGGGGTGGCTTTTTAGAAATGAAGGCGCTAAGAGAATCTAGCGAGTGCGAGGGCAAACCCAAATACCAAAGAGGCCCTCGTATCAAAAACGTAAAGGCGTCATGTAGGACACACTGGCTTATGTGAGGAGGAAGCCTTTTCACTGGAGAAGTCCCGATCGCTTCCCTGCACTGAAGAAGCTGTCCGAGTTGATCCTCGTGTGATTATTGGACACAAAGAGGCACCTTGAGGAATGATCGGGGAGGGTGGGGGGGGGGTTCACTGGCAGTGAGGTGTGAGTTTTAACACCTCACGAGGCTGTTAAAAAAATATGAGCGCTCTCAGCAGTGCTGGTAAGCACCCTTTCACACATTGAACGGATCAATCGGTGCCCCTCCCCTTCACGGGCGCCACGCGGCCACAGGATGCAGATACGGAGTGAATCGGTGGTGCGGGGCGGAGGGGGTGTGAACCAGGTGTGCACAAGAACTGAGGTGAAGCTATTTTTAATCCAAGGCCAATTTGTCTTGACCTTTACTTGGCCTCCCCTCCCTTCCCCCCTTATTATTTTTATCATTGTTAGGCCATTTTACTCCTTTCAAGGATATCATAATTTACCGCCTCTCTGCCTAAGCCCACCACCCCCCCCCACCAACACTGTACCTCGAGGGCCGCGGTGAGAGAACAGCAGTAGCCCAAAAGGGTAAGCGAATCTATTGAAAAACAGGATTAAATGAATTTATGCCCTCCCAGTCGGGAGAGGAGGAGGACGACGACGACGTGGAGGCGGAATAAAGCTAACATGATTTCAGCCCTCCTCACCTCTCGCTGACTCCAACACAAGCATTCTACCCTTGGGCTGACCTCCACCGCCAGACAGCAGTTCCTCTAAAATGGGGCCCCTTTCCCCTCTCCTCTTCCAACAACCCCCCTCCCCCCACAACAAGACCCTGGCCTCTGATTCAGGACTTGGAACAGATCAGACAGATTCATTGTGTGTGTGTGTGCGCGCTGGGACGGTTCCCCAGGTGTGTACGTAAGCTAGCATGTCAACGTCCCGTTTACCAAAGCACTTTATCATCCAACACATCGTTTCACAAACTTTTACTTTTTTTTTTCCTTATGTGTGCGCAGGACGAACCTATAAAATAAAAAAAAACGCAGCACTTTTATTTCTGTGGTTAAGTAAATTATAGCGTTATGAAAAGACAAAACGCACACACATACATACACACAGCTTTTCCTGCATGGGGGCGGAGCTGCGGTTTCTTTTGCCTCCGCCGCAGTGAGTCTCGGTGTCTGCTCGGCACACAAACCACTTCCTGTGTCTCCTCCGCCAAGCCAATCAGCAGAGCCGGCAATCTTATGCTACAAACGTTTATTTTTTATTTTTACACTCAACACAGAAAAACACCTCCACGCTAGTTTTGTGCATTATGTCGAGCTTTAGGTCAGAAGAAGCAATTATTAAGGCCGGAACTCTTGGACATGCTTACTTGCAGAAAGCACATTGGGTCATGTCACCATTGACTGGGTACACAACGCCTGTAGCAGGCAAGGGAACACAATGATGGTGTCTAATCGTAGGGAAGATTCCAGTTTGGTTCCCAGTGGAGTTTAAGTTGTGTTCATTATCTCAAACCAGACATTGTCATTGTAGAAAAGAAAAAGTGACAGCCACCACACTACGTTTTTCTCACAAATGATGGATGAAATTATGTTTTACAATCCATTCTGCAGACTTCACACTGAATCTGTTTGTTTAGAGAATTTGAAAGTAGGTGCCCTGCAGACAAATAACAGCGTTAAATACATAACACTTCATACATTGAGTTGTTTTTATCAGATGCCACTAACTGCAGTATATTGGCATTCTATAAACATGAAACCGTATCAGTCAGCCCGCTGTAAAAGCACTAAAACAAAACCAAAAACAGCAGTAGTGACCGGAACCAGTTTTGTTACATGCAGCCGTTCAGGAGGAGCGCCAGCGAGCCAAGGAGAGAAACGAGAGCGAGGTAGAGTCCTCCAGCTGCGCCAACGAGGACATGCCCGTGGAGAAGATTCTGGAGGCCGAGCAGGCGGTGGAACCCAAAACGGAGACCTACATCGAGACCAACCTCGGCGTGCCATCCAATTCGGTGAGTGGGCTCCCCCCCCCCTCCCCCTCCCATCATTCCCTTTCCCCAAATACTCACACGCTGTCCTTCTGCGATTGCTCAGTGTTGAAACCATGCAGCACACAACTGTGCCTTAAAGCTTCTGATTTTGGTTGTTGGTTAATGGGGATGGATTGTGTAATGTTGTTTTTCTATTGGAATTACTATGGGGAAAGAAACGCAATGCATTGTTAAGAACTAATACGTAATGATACAGGACTCTTGACTGGGTTCAACTGCACCGCTGTACGCTCATGGAGGAGAAAGCTAAATGTTTTTCAGATTTATGGCTCATGCTTTTTTTTTTTCTGCTCTCCCAAATCTTCCTGGAGCGGTCCCACCATTGTCCACATGTGGTCTCAACCTTCCAGCTGCATGTAGTATATCTCACTTTTAAATTGCAGAGTTAAGGCACACTGTATCATAGTGTGTATGTAAAAAAAGGAATGCAGTCATCCGTGACCTCACCCATTGGTTTGTGGACATTTGGGCTGTCGCCATCCTAGTTTTTCTTTTCTTTTTTTGCATGAACTGAAAACAACCTGTGAAAAGGTGTTTTGCAAAAAAGCTTTTTTTGCAACTAGTGGAGTCGCCCTCTGGTGGCTAGCTGAGAGAATGGAAGTTTAAGACACTTTTTTAGAAGGAAACAGTTACCTCCTGGTTTGCGTGCTGACAGGTTAGCATCTATTTACATATTTGTCATGTTTCAGTGCGGTCGTGGTGCTCATCGTGTGATTATACTTGCTGCTTGAGGAGCGTCTCCTCTGTCAGCCGGTAAAGATCGCCGCGGTTACCGTTTGTCCTCCGTCTTTCAGTCCCTTTGGAGGTGGCTGCTTGTAGTCTGCAGTGCTGCTTTACCTGTGCACCTTGCAGTATCTCCTTCGCTCAGCTGTTCACACAGTTCCCTGCTCTCTCCTCATTTCGTATCGGCTGGGCACTGAGGGCTGTCTTTTAAACAGTGATGAATAATGCGACAGGAGACTGTTTCTGAAAGCTTCCACAAGGCCTCAGCTTCCTCAGGAATTCTGTGCAACATGAGAAACATGGGGACGCTGCCGGCGGCCCAGCAAAGAGGAAAGGAGGGAGGGAGGGGAACAGAGACTTGAGGAGGGGGAGGGAGGACTTCTTCTGGGATCCATCTGCTCCAGGGGATGGAAGTGTCCTATGAAGTGAAGGTAGAAAAGTGAGGGCTGTTATGTGAGTAAATGGGAGCTATTTTGGGGGGGAGGCAGATGGAAATGTAGGAGATGAGCCCTGACATTAGGGAGCGGGAGAAGGGGGCGGGGGGGTTTCACGGGGGATCGGCTGGATGCTCAGACACACTAATGCACTGAGTGTGTTTTTTTTGGCACAGCCCTGGCGCGTCTCTCGGTGCCCGCCGCACAAACACACGTATGTACAGAACGGAGCCGCCTCTATTGACACCAGGATCCACATGGTGACATCCACCCAAATGGATCCGGACTGTGCAGGTCATGCTGACCGGGGACCCATCATTCCTCATGTCATTCATGTGTTATGTGTTCATACTTTTTGTTTAAAATCACTCAGTCAGTCATCAGTCAAGTGTCTATACCGCTTGTATTTATAGGGTCACATAGGAGTGGAGGGAAGGGGGTGGAGTCAATACCAGCTAGCATGGGGCGGGAGACAGTGATCCCCATGGACAATGGCAGGGGGGCACACAGAGACAAACAACCATCCACGCACACATTCAGAGGTGAAACTAGGAGTCTGCCACCCTGAAGCCGCTGCATGTTGGCAGAGGGTCAGCCTCCATTGAGAAGCAGCGCCCCGTGCTGTAATTAATCACAGGGCCATGAGTGTACGCCATGAATAGTTCACCAGTCACTGCCTAATGGCCGGGGTGAATGAAGTGAGTTTATCTCTTGGCGACCTAGAAGAGGAGTCAAACATGCGTCAGTAATGCGCTGCCAGTCGGACGGGGGGGAGCAGATCTCATGACGAGGAGAAGAGGTGCGACCTCACTTTTCTAAAAATGTAGTTTGCTATCTTTCCCCCGAGCTCAGGGCAGGAAGCCTTTCTGTTACTTAGACGGTAATTAGTAGATGACTCATCCAGCATAAAAGAACCTTGTTTAATTTGATTCTTTTTTCAAATGTTAGTTCTAAAGATGTGGGACACTCAAGTAACTCGTTTTCCCACCGGTCCGCACGAGTACCCCAGTTTCGCTCGCCTGTCACGCCAGCGCAGTCTGATCCGAGCTGAGGAATGAAAAATTGAAAAGGTAAATCTCAGTCGTCTCCCTCTCGGAGAGCGCTGAAAATTTCATAGGAAAGTATGCAACCCCGGCCAGTTATGGGGGCGATTGACCATGGTGGGGGCGCCTTTCCTGATTGGCTGGGACGAAGACTCTTCCTCTCTTTGCTGTTTTGGTGGCATTTAGAGATGCTAAAGTTTCACGTCTTCCACAAGCTCCCTATTCTAAAGCTGTGAGATATATTACCATTTGGATTCCCCCCCCCTCTCCGATAACATCATCTTAAACAGTGAGTACAGTAATGTGACGCCTGCAGGATTATGTAAGCTCCCCCCTCGGCCCCCTGTCACCTCACACAGGGCAGGAGCGGAAGAAAGCAGGCCGGCCTAAACACGACTAAGATCGCCATTCAACATTCATGAGGCCCGCCGTGTTTAACGACAACCCCGGGACGTGTGTCCCTACGAGGGGGGGGGGGGTTTGTGCAAACGCAGCTCGCTTTAAAATCTGTCGCCGTGCTCGTCTCCCACAGAGATCAGAAATATTCATAAGATGCCTGTTTTCTTCCCCTGTATAACCCTCCCCTCAATAAACAGTGTAGGCTTTGTGTCAGTGTGAGTCTCGGGCCCGTAGGGAGCGATGGTCTTTGGCCTGCGCGCTGCGAGAGGAGAGCGCAGGGACGCCTTCTCCTTCATCTCAAACTAATCTTCTCCGGAGAGACGCCGTCGATGCGCCGATCCTCCCAGCTTTTTACCGTCGATCACGGGGATTTGAGCACAAGAAAGTTTGGGGAGAAGTTGCTGTTTTTTTGGGGGGTGAGGTTTCGAGTGCACACAGGGATACTTAGAATGTAAAGATGTTTCCTTGATTTTTTCCAAATTATGCAGCAACGCGTGTGCAGAGTCTTTGTTTACACACACGCACATCAAGGCTTTTGCTCCTGGGATGAAAATAGATTTCTCAACAGAGACGGATGGTATTGTTCTTTTTTTTTTAACCTCTACCCAGATGGATTTACATAGTAGTCAGTTAGTCGTACTGTACGTACACATTAGTATTCCACCACAGTTCATGGGAGGATAACGGCTCCCAATGAGCTGCCTTGTGACGGTGAAAGACGAGCACAGAAGTGATGATTTAAACAGTGCTCCTCAGGTGCAGCAGCCCAGCTGATCTTAAGAAAACCGAGATCTTACACTTTTCATTTGTTCCTGCGAACGCCGAGCTTCTGGCTCAACTGTGTTTTTTAGAATCTCGATTTATTGAGGACAAAACATCTGCAGACTAAAGATGAGCGAACTCCGTAGTGTATTTTCTGCAATGCAGCGCGGCTCGCTGGTAAATGTGCGTATGCTTGAGTCGGAGCTTTTCATCTCATGTAAATGTGTTCTTGAAGAGGTCACATGTTCTGTGCATTCAGCGTTAAGATGACACTTAAAACCAACCAGAGAAGAGGGGCGCTTTTTCCCCCTCCTTTTTCTTAACGTACACACGTAGCATACATTAAAATAATAGATATGCACACTTGAGATCTGGCTTTGGCCTTTACTCCGGCTTTTATGCTCTTCTCTCGGCGAGGCCTAATACATCTAATGCAGAGAGATCAATGAGGGATTGAAGCTTTCTCCTTGGCCCACTTTTTTATTTCACAGAGGAGACAGTCAGCACTCTAATTCTGAACACAACCCACTCTGACGTCCTTTAGACGGGCCGATCCACCGCGGAGAACTGCTCACTTTCATCGTTTAGCAGAATAATAATCAATCAAACAATGAACTTAAAATATAAGTGGTATCACTAACTATACGTCACTATTTCCGGTTATTGCATTGGCTGATGGATAATGTCATGTGTATGTTTTACTGTGAGTAAATATGAACACCATTGCACATTAGAGTTGGCTGATGAGTCCCAGTGGAGCTCAACTTGTTATGTGTGTGAGGTGTCGGGGGGGGGGGGCCTCTTGAGCTCCGCTCGCCCGCCTCAAAGGCGGACTTGTGCGTCGACTAAAAGGGTCCCCAAAGAAAGATCCTGCTTGGTGATTTTTTTATTTTTTTTTCTCTGCAGCAGCTCCGCAGGTATTTCCTCCTCGAGCTGGGAAAAGCATCACAGTCTGTTTAGTGTTGCTACTTGCTTCCTTTAGGAGCTTATCATTCATAGCATAGTCCTGATGTAAGTGTTAAGTGTGCGCGTGCGTGTGCGTTGATAGCTGGCGCGAGCCGACACCAGGCTCGCAGCCAAATAAGAGACGCAAAAGTAAATGTGGACCAGCTTTTCCTTTCATCCGTTGTCCGTCTAAATTTGTCACTTTGATTGACTGGTGTCCGTTTGTGTGTTTCCCCGCAGCCTAACGACCCGGTGACAAATATCTGTCAGGCGGCTGACAAGCAGCTCTTCACCCTGGTGGAGTGGGCCAAGAGGATCCCCCACTTCTCTGAGCTGCCACTGGACGACCAGGTCATCCTTCTACGAGCAGGTCGGTCAACAACGAGAAAATGAAAAGCCGCTTATTATTCCATAATGACTCCTCCAAACGCCCCACGACGACCCGGATGATTATCCATCAGGCACAGTGGTGAACAGAGGGTACACATGGATGTGATTTAATCTTCTTGTGTCTAAACAAAGATAAAACCACAGTTGTTATGAAAGGATTCAGCTTAATTTAGTTCACTGCAAAACTGAGACGCTATGAAGAGCACACATGCCATATGCATAAAGTCTTGAGTTGCATAAAGGATGCAATTGGAGCTGTGGGATCTGCCTCTGCATTCAAACCCCCGACATAAAAGAGCTACTTTTTGTGCATTCCGAGCAGCAGTCTGCCACAAATATTTTCATTATAAACGATCATCACGTTCACAATACTGTGTTTCTTCTGAGACAGGAAGGCCGCTGGGTGGGTTTAAACCCAGGGCCTTCTTGTTTTGAGGCGACCGTGCCAACCACCGTGTCACCGTGCCGACCGTGTATCGAGGTAGAAACCTCGGCTTCTCGTCATGTGACTGAGGCGAGATGTCGGACCCGCCGAGGTCAGAGCGGCTCGCTCCGCCTGTGTGTCTGCTCAGAAGCCCGTGACTCAGCCGTCACTTCTCTTCTTCTGTAACGGACCAAAGGTGTTTCTCTCAACACGTCGCCCTCGTCGCCTGCTTGTCGCTCGATATTAACATATATTCTAGATTCACCTTGAGGGGGGATGGAGGGGTTGCCATCACACACCCTGTGAGAAAACCTCCTCCCATCACTTGTCCTCCTCAGCACAAAGATGGAGAGACGTCAGCAGAGAGAGAGAGAGAGAGAGAGAGAGCTGGGCTCTCAGGTTTTCTATAAATAACCACTTTGGTTCTGCTGTATCAGAGATAAAAGCTTCACGGGCTCCTCTCATACCCGACTCCCACTCTGGGGAGGAGAGGAGAGCGTTGCCAGGCAGAACAGTTAAAGGAGCCCCGTTGCTCAGAAGGTGTCGTCGCCGTGTCTCCACCGCTTCCCCCGCGTCAGGCCCCTGCTTTGGCGCGTCAAGCCCGCCGCCTTCATCGTGGTGGCAGGCGCAGTTCATCCCCTTTACACGCTTGTCTCCCCAGAACGCGTGATTCAAACGTCTTGGTAATAACCCCATGCCTGAGAAAGCTGCACGCTCTCACCGCGCGGCCTAATTGATTCATTGGAACCCCCCCCCCTCCCCCCTTTTGTTGTCAGTTTCATTTTGCCTGAATGCTGTGTGAACTTTTGTACCGGGATTTGCCTGTTTTTTTTTTCTCTCTCCCTCTTTTTCTTTCTTGTGCTCATCCTTTCTCCCTGGATCCTTCTCCCCGTCTCTGCCACAGGCTGGAACGAACTTCTCATCGCGTCGTTTTCGCACCGCTCGATATCGATCAAAGACGGGATCCTGCTGGCGACCGGGCTGCACGTCCACCGCAACAGCGCCCACAGCGCCGGGGTGGGGGCCATCTTTGACAGGTCCTCACTCCATACTACTGGACTTTTATCAAATTGTGTTCATACGGACATGCAAGGGCAAACTTCAGCCGTCACTTTGAATTATATCAATGAACTAGTGGTTTATGAATTAGTAAAGTAGTGGCTGGATTAGTGGTTAATAGTTCATTAATAAATTATGTATAAAGCATAACATTACCAGATTTGGAAAAATATGTTCTTTGGCTAACGACATTGGCTTGTTAATGATTTATTAAGCATTCATACAGCATTATTATTTACTACTTTAAACATATATACCCAGACTCATTAGAAAGCGATAATATCTTATTAGCATTTTCATAAATTGTAACGAAAGGTTTTGCTGATGTTAATTAATTATAAATGTTTTATCAATCAGTAGGTGAGCCTTGTTTGAAAGTGGCAACATTTTAGGTAAATATAAGACACAGATGATGTTTTCTTACTGTTGCAATCAATCTTGCATCAATGAGTATACAGTCAATGAAACTTCAATGGTAATGCCATAATGCTCGCAGAAAACTTGTGTATGCACTCCGGCGACATAAGTTGCTGTAAGAAGCCCAACCATTATTAATAATGTGTTAATGATCTATAAAGCCTTAACAAATCATGTATTGACTACTGAAAGAAAATTCATGTGGGTTTCTTCCACTGAAACATCAACAGCTCACTGGAAGCCGCGGAAGGCAAATCAAGACGAGAACTATCGATCGATTCCAGTAGATCAAACTTTGAATATGTACACGCAAGGGAAACCACAGAAACACCAGACCGAATTGTAAAAATGAAACAGATCCATGCGGAAGCTTCTCAAAGGGAAGCCGGCAGCCTGTCTCCATCTCTCGAGCCTCTCATGGGTCGCTCACAGCCACGGGACATATCCCATCTGTGGCAGTAACTGTGGCAGGCATTAAGATGCAGGGAGCCGATAGTGTCTCCCTCCCTCCCTCCCTCTCGCCATACAAGTTAAGACGCTGATTAACTTAAACACTTGAGTCTTCTTTTTCTTTTTTTTTCTCCAGCCCCATTGTTCCTCCTTGGAAAGAATTGAATTAGAAGGAGCTGAGAGCCACAATTGACTTTCCTATCGCAGGGAAGGAGGGGGAGGGGGCAGAAATAGAGTGAGAGAGCAGACGAGGAGGGTGTGACCGAGTCAAAGAGGGGTGAGGAGTTCGAGAGACTCGGCTCACCGACGCGATGATGTCACACGCAGCTTGTGTTTACACTGTGGCTTTTCCTCTCTTTAAACCACGTACTAAACATAATGGCTTTGTGCAGGGTTGTAAACGGCTCCTACGCGCCTACATGTGCATGAGTGTGTTTTTTTTTTTTTTTTTTGTGTACAGATTTGAGCTGGATAGACGGTCATTAAACCCTATTTTTAACGTGCCCGTCTGGATGTGGATAATTCACATGGCGCACACAGAGCTCTTGTTCACAAAAACAAAAGAAATGATCTTGACATCCCTGGTACCCGTGTTATCTGATGTAACACCATAATATGACGAAAGGGTTTGATTGGGAATCGACCACAGCTCTGACGCACCTTTTGATGTTGTCTCTTTTGTGCAGAGTGCTCACAGAGCTGGTGTCAAAGATGAGGGACATGCAGATGGATAAGACGGAGTTGGGGTGCCTTCGAGCGATAGTCCTTTTCAACCCAGGTAACTATGGCCGTGTGTGAGCTGAAGGAAGCTGGAGATGAGGTGTTTCTGAAGATGCTCGGTTCTTCTTTGATTTAAAGATAACAGCGGAATGATTTACCAAGCTGCATGTTAAGAATCCACTGCACTGTTGACATTTACCCAATGTGGGATTGTTCTCTCAGAGCCACAGTGTTGCTGAGCAACTTTGCTTGTCTGGATACCTTTTTCTTTTTTTACATCACTATTGCCTTCAGCTATAACCAAGAAAAACAACATTCAACTGATATTCATATTTCTATAATAGATTGGCTCATTCAGGACTTGGAGCTTAGTAGTACTGCACCTAAAATCACACTCCAATATGATTATAAAAGTATCAAAACCTGCAGAGGACCTCCCCGAAGAGCCTTTGCAGTATGATCATGTCGCTCCTATGACCATCAGAGTTCCAAGTATTTGAACAAAACGTGGTGGATAATTGCACCACTTGTTTGGAGCTTTATAGCTTCACTTGCAGGGCAGAGTAGCAGTGTAATCAGACATATGTTCTTAATGTACTGAGCATTCATTACTCAGATTTCTTTTCCCAAGAAGATCACTCAAAGTGTTGGTGCTGGACCGTGTTGATTCAACTTGAGAATCGGGAACTGGCTTATCACTTTTACCTGTTTTCTTTGAACTCGTCTTTGGACTTAAATCGAGTCTGCAGAGCAAAAGCTCACACTTATATATTATATTGATGTGATACATACAAACCAAGTGTTTATTTTACAATAACAGCTGCACTCACACATCAGGAATCCCACTTCATTTAAAACCAAACTCCAAATGTGTCAGCCCAGTTAGCAGTATGCTAACTAGTAGCTGCGTTATCCCTTAGCCATGCACACGGTTCAAAACATTAAAAGTGAGCCGATACAGCAGCGTGTGTGCTGGTAGGTCTGTCAGAGGCCTGGAGTTCCACCATTCAATAGATATTAGCATCCGAGAGGTACTCTGCAGCACCTGTGCTTAGCGGTTACGTTAGCTAAACAACAGAGTTCAAAAACATTATGCAGTTTTAGGCTGCAGATTAGTCGTGGATGGCCACCGGGGGGAACTCCCACTTGCTCATAGACAAACACTGACCTATTGCGTGCGTCCCCTGGCAGGGATAATATTAATAATGGCAAATAAATGGCAAAGAAAGCACATGGCAGCGGCCTTTATTTAGTCGAAGCCCTCGTCTTGTCACGCTGGGTTTTAAACCTCCTCCACACAGTATCAAAGTAAGCTAAAGCAACCAGCGAATGTGACCCGGGTCCTCCCATGACCCTGTGTGGGAGTATCCCTGCGTCCCCCCCCGGGGGCCACTGTCATCCCCTGTGTCCCTCATTGGGTTCAGGCCCCATCCGGACCCACATCTCCTGATTCTTTGTTAATTACACTGGTCTGATGGAATAAAGCAGTGGGTGGTGGTTTGGGGGAAGGGGGCTGCAGGGCCTTCAGTCCTGCCGTTCCCACACTGGGTTTGCAGAGTCCAGCCGCTCACAACAAATGTTCATTCTTTGTTGATCAACCGCGCGTCGCTTTGAACACCCGAGACGTGACTCAATGACACGCTTGTGCCGGGGCTTTCAGCCATGCTTAGCTTAGCGCCGGCCTAATTGGGCTCACGCGGAATGTGGCGCCACACGACCGCGCCGGACCTGCGGGGTTAAAACTCAACCGCAAGGGGCCTTTGAGCGAGGCGGGAGCGGCCATACTTTGTCACAGCCAAGAGGGCCGAAAGGCAGGAAAACACTGCTTTTCCCATAACGAGGCCGACCAGCAGCATCGGGCGGCGCGTTGATCGCTCTGTTCCCTTCTTGTCCACAGACTCCAAAGGGTTGTCCAATCCGGGTGAGGTAGAAGCTCTGAGAGAGAAGGTGTACGCGTCTTTAGAGGCCTACTGCAAACAGAAGTACCCCGACCAGCCTGGCAGGTAGGAACGCAAATCCTCCTTATTAGGGCGGGCGTTAATATGTGATTAGTGTTTTCCTCTTCAGCTCTTTGCATTGTTACTGAAGTCTTCCTTGGTGCTGTGGGAGGTTCAGCTTGAGGTCGGATCCCCTCCTGCTCGTCCTTTGGTCTAACTTCCACCTTGTGTCGTGACAGGTTTGCCAAACTGTTGCTGCGGTTACCGGCGCTGCGCTCCATCGGCCTCAAGTGTCTGGAGCACTTGTTCTTCTTCAAGCTCATCGGGGACACGCCCATCGACACCTTCCTCATGGAGATGCTAGAAGCCCCGCATCAAATGACATAGTAGCAGAGATGCTTGATCGGGACAGTGAGGGGTGGATCATGTGACGGATGGAGAAGCTGTTCCACCCGTCCCTCCACACCGGCTCCCTGTTGGATGTGTTCCAAGACAATGAATTCATCCTCCCTTTGAGTCTGTTTTATACCTTGTAAAACATATATAAATAAGAAATATATAGATATACAGTATATATAGATATAGGTATGGAAATCACACTGCGACACGGGTGACAACAGTGGACTTCAGAAGAAGCGCGTTGAGCTGTTGTTTTCATCCTCTTTCCCCACACGGCGACAAGACAAGAAAAAGACGATCAGGGTTTGAACGCCCACAGTTGCAGGTATTTTGAGAAAACATCAACCAGACATTTTTAAAAAAGGACCCTCTGCGTTGTGATCGGCCCCATCGAGGAGCGGGAGAGCCTGAGGCCGTCCGGACCTGAGCCTTCTCTCTCTCTTTATCAGGACTCTGAACTCACTCCGTGGGGGACTTGGAGGCAGAGGAAAGGGTAGACGCCCGTTTGAAGGAGCCCGTCCTTTCTCCGCCCGACTCGACGTCCGGTCTTGCACTAGCCGCTGTGACGGCTTATGGGGCGGCAAGCGCTTAAAAAATAAATGAAACAACCTCAGGTGTCTGCTCGATTCCACCAAATAGCACCTGCGCGTTACTCCGTTAGCACTGTGCGCCATCAGATGGGGGGGGGGGGCATTTTAGTCAAATCAGCCCATTGCTTGGTGGCTACGCATGGCGAGGGAAGATGAAGAAGACTTTGTTTGGGCCTTCTGTCGTCACCTCTGTCTTATGGGGGGGGGACCTTTTTTTTTCTGTACCCTTCTTGGACCTCTCCCCGTCTTGTGTCACGTAACTTTCAACTCCCGCCCCCGCGGCGGGATGCTATCCTCACACACCCACATCTACCTGTACAGACAGCTACAGCCGCACGCAGTATTGACCTTACTCTGACTTACCTCTGTTCTCCATCCGTCCCGCCGGCGGCCCCTTACTCGGCACTTAACCTCGGTGCAGTCAGGCTCCCGCAACGGACCTCTTGAGGGGAATCTGACCCCGATTGGGGACGCACCATTCAGCGGGACACACACACACACACACACACTCGCTCTCCCTGCACTTCTCTGGACGAGCTGGAGTCATTTAAGTGAAATTAGATATGGATACCTCCATTTTGTGTGTGATTATGCTTTATGCTCATATGCTGTTTGTTGCTTTTCTCTAAATGCTGCGGCCGCTGCGATACTATGCATCCAGTGCGTTTCCAAAGATGGTCCACAGAGTGTTGGTGAGCCGTGGTGTTTCTCTCCTGGACCGAGTAACCTGCTCGTTCGGCTTTCATCTCTCCTCCACACTATTGGGACACAGGACAGACATTCTGTACCGGTTGATTCACCTCTGAAAGTGAGTTCAAGGCTGTGCGTCAAGTCGGATACCAGAAAAAGGCCCAGATGAAAATGAAATGAAGGATTTTCTTCTTCCTATTTCTGCTGATTGGTCATGTTATGTGAGCGACTTGGACCCCTGAGCGCTGTGTCGTCATCCCCCTGAGATGAACTGAACGGGTTAACGTGGGTGAATGGAGCCTTGGATGTGCTACTTCAATACTCAGTTTTTAAGTCTTCACCGATTAATATATTTTAGTAAATGTACCTAAATATTCATTTACACATGCATTTCAATCCTGCGTCATAAGAAAAGAGTATGACATTTAACTTTTAATCACTTAAAATCATTGAGGATTTCACTACAAATGTAATGGTAATACTTCTACATCACGAGGAATCTCTCACAGGAGATACATTTCACATAAATATGAAACGAAGCCCGGCAGCCGGAGCTCCTATTGGCCGGCCGGTTATTTTATCAGCACTTAGTTTTTAAATCCCCTCAATTTATGAATTGCTAAGATATGAAATGCTGAGAATATTCTGATGGCACCATCAGGGCCCCGCAGAGACCGGAGTGAACGTTTTCCTCATGATTGCTGTCTGTTTGGGTCGGAGGACATTTAAGTGTCGGGAGCTCCCTCTGGTGGAGGAGCGGCGCCGCTGCAGCTTTACTTGAATTCTGTTTTCTACAAGTATTTCATCCGACAAGAAGATGGTACTTTCATCGCTGTGCTCGGACAAAAACCCTCCTTGAGTCGTGTGGGGAGAAGTAATAAGTTCAGCGTTCAAGTTCCGGCTTGTGGTATTAGTTCTTATTGGAGCGTTTCAGGGAGGCGGCCTGTTACCATCTCAGAACCACCTGCTGGTCTGAGCTCAGTTTACAGTATTTATATTCTGGTGTTTGTCTTTTCAAACAAAGACAAGCTTATTTTTCTGATAAGTTTTACAATTTAATCATGGAGCTACAGCTACTTTTTTTATTATAGGAAAGCAGACGTTGAGCGATCTAAGCGGGTCTTTTGTTCAACTTTAAAATGGACCCCCCCTTCTAAGTGAACTGTGATCCGCCGAGCACAGGTCTCTTAAGCCATAAAGTGGACGTGTGAGATCCCCCCCACCCCCCAAAAAAATCCTGTGTCCAGCAAAGAAAGATCACCTCCATGAACGCTTTATAAAACAAAGTTCTATTTTGTTAATATGTAAATGTGTAAATATTTATAAATATATTTCAACAGATCTGTTCTTTGAGTATTTCTGAGGAAGACGAGTCTTTTAAGACCAAAAAGTGTTCCATGACAAGTTACACTTTTTTTTCTTTTGTTGCTTTCAGACCTGGACTTGTTGAACCAGCAGAATCACAGCAGCTCTAAGCTAAAAAAAAAAATACCAGCTCAATAAAACCGTGAAAGAAAAAAAAAATGACTCTAAATCCCCTGAAATGTGTGTCTGTGTTGCTTGGCAATTGTATGTTCAATAAGTGTAATAATCAGGAACAGCTGAACTTGTGACACAATCAATGCTTTCATTGTTGCATCAGTGGTAAAACAAAAAAAACACTTGGAAAATGATCTATTTTTGTACAAAGGTAATTTTATCTGACTTGTGTTGTTTTCTTCTGCATACGTCGTGCAAACACTTTGCCATTTTTTGCCCGCCGCTGCAACGACGGGGATTGTCTTTAATTATATTTTCATCAATTTTTAAGAGATGAAATTTGTCTTCTGTTCTTTGTGGGTTGTTTTTCCGATGTTCTTATCTTTCATGGACCGAGAAAAACAAAAAAAGTTATTAAAAAAAATAATGAACGCTGAGCTGCTGGCAGTATATTGTGTGTCATGTTCCAGATACACGTGAATGTTAAACTCACGACTCGGTCACGTGAAACGTACAAAAACTGGGTTTATTAAGCTGTCAATTGTCAGAACATGTATTCCACCAAAACAAGTCAAATGAATCCAGACTACAGATGCTGGTGGCTGCGTGCAGAAGACAAAGAACCAAGACGGACAGCTGCAGTAATCAAATCAGCATCTGTACACATCTTCAAACTAACTGGGGTTTTTTTGTGTGCAATTGTTCAAACTATTCTGTGATTTCATACATCACATTTTCAGCTTTTTTAATTTAGTTAAAACCTGGTTTGTTGCCCAAAAGGATTTAAACAGTAAATGTATATTTGAAACCTGGCAATTGAATATTAAGACCAAACGTCCCTATTTGTAAGGCCTTGAATAATAAACAGCCATAAGATGTCTTTGTTTTGTTTTTAATACCTGAAGCTTGATGTTAACGTCACTTCACCGTAAAGTCATAATGACGACGCTACAGTTACTCAAAAATAAAAGGCAGAACACAAATGATCAAATCATTAAAAAGGCCGAATAAGCTTAACATTATCCAAAGGGACCACAAATGAACGCGAGTTGGTACGGAACTGTAACACCGGGGGGGGAAGTTTAAAGCAGTGTCAAAAATACTGAAGCACCAGAACACAGCATCAAGAAAAAAAAGTCTCCAGCTTCACATTAGGAGAGTGATGTGACCCCGGATGTGGGCTCTGGGAAACTGAACGTGGTCGACGGGTCTCATTCCCTCTGCGTCACACAGGAGCTCCGTTAGAAAAAAAAAATGTCCTCTTTTCTTACAACAAAACAGAAGGAAAAAAAACAAGTTGAATGGCGCAAAGAATCCCAAAGCAGGAGCTTAGCAGTCGCTTCTCCATAGCTTGATGGTTTTGTCGTTTTCTAAAGCCGCGGACGCGATGATGTTCTCTGTCGGGTGGCAGGCGGTCGAGATGACGACGTCTGGGGAAGGAAGGGGAGAGTTGAAAGGCTGCTTTACACATCGGACAGAACACCGGGTCAGACAGAGTGTGGAGACTAAAGGGGACACCAAATAAAGTGGTTTTACCCGTAGTGTCATTTAGTAATGTGGAGACGTCCGTCGTCTCTTAAATAATACAAATAAGTTTACTCAAAGCGGACGGTGGGCTAGTTGTGATTTGGCTCGCGCTCGTTGCCGCACCTGTGTGGCTCTGGAGTTTCTGCACGATTTCCTTCGTCTGTAGGTTCCAGATATAAACCATGTTGTCCTCGGAGCCGGACACGATCCACTGGAGGACAGAGCAGAGAGGCTTCATGAACACACACGCGGCATCAAACACCAGAAAGTGGATTATCAGGAGCACGAAGCAGAACCTGTGAGCCGTCATCAAAGTGAAACAGCGCTCACCTTTCCGCCGGTGACGGAGAAGTTTGCAAATATGCAGTACTTCTCATTTTTGTGGCCGGTGTACGTTTTCAAGCACTGAAACATAATGAAAAAAAGAATGTAAGCGGACTAACTGCATCTCGCCTACACTCACACACTGCTTTAAATTGTAAAAAAATAAAATGAGGAAATGTGAAAGAAGCTGCTCACCTTCCCTTTGCTGTAGTCCCACAGCTTCAGCGTGCTGAGGACACAGAATCACCAATCACATGACTGATATTAAACACTCTTTAATAAACCTGGAGCTGAGCCCACGGCGGCGCAGCGCCGCCCTCTGCTGGTGAGCAGCGCCAACGACGGCCTGCTAACACTCACTTGTCCAGCGTGGCGGCCAGGATGTATTTCCCGTTGGGGGAGAACTTCACAAAGGACACGGGAGGGTTGTCGTCATCTGACATGGACAACACACAACGTCAGCCCAACAACCTAAAACGCTTTACAAAACCATGGGTGTAACACAACGCAATTCGAAATGCCTTTTAAATCAGATTTCTTTCCCCGTAGTAAACCTGGTGGGAAGGTGCACGTATGCAGCAGGGGGGTAGAGAGGCCCGGGGCACCTTACCTATGAGGGTCTTCAAACACTGCCCCGACGCCGTGTCCCAGATCCGGCTGGGAATACAAACCAAAACAAGCGGTCAGGTGTTACTGCATGACTTACTTTAATGAGCAATTACTTTTCACTAATGACAGCCGGGACTTTCTGGGGATTATCGAGGTGAACTCATGATGTAGACGAGTGGGGCAGGTCTCACCAAAGTCCGTCGTAGCTGCTGGACACGATCAGGGAGCCGTCTCTGTTGAAGTGAACCTGCGGGGCCGAGACACGCCGTCACTCTCCGTGGAAACTTTCATGTAACTGACATTTTCTTACAGAAGAATAAAGGAACATGGAAACGCAAACTCACAGCGGAGACCGGGTCGGAGTGAGCCGGCAATGTTTTCAAACACTTCCCGGTCTTCACGTCCCATATCCTTACACTCTCATCGAACTGGAAGCAAAGGGACGTAAATAAGAAGCCATCTTTAGAAGGAGCCTATCGGTAGGCGAAGCTCCGTACTCACCGATCCGGACACGATGAGGTTGGACTGAGGGTTGAAGTTGCAGCAGAACACGTAGTTGCTGTGACCTTTAAGAGTTTTTAAGCCTTTCCCCTAGATGGAGAAAAAAAAGTTGTAACGTCACATTCTCGCTGGTAACAAGGAGGACAAACGAGCGGCGGCTCCACGCGCTCCCTCACCGAGCTGACGTCCCAGATCTTGAGGGTTTTGTCGTCAGAGGCGGACACCAGCAGGTTGGAGTCGGAGGACCAGGCCACGTCGGATATGCCCTGCGAGGTTCACGGGGGGGGAAGGGGGGTTAGGAAGGCGACAGAGAGAAAGGCTCCGCTGACGACGCCACGAAGGAAATCATACAACACGGCCGCGAGCCGCCCGACTCACCAGCTTGTGTCCCGATATGGTTTTCTCAAACTTGCCGTCGTACGCCCCCCAGATTTTGATGAGTTTGTCAGCGGCTGTGGAGGAGAAAGGAAAAAAGTGACGAGTCTGTGAATCGGAGATCACTGCTTAACAGACAATGAAAAAAAAGGAATAAGTTAAACTTTTGTCGATTGGTTGATTTTTGCTTCCAATAAGGTGAAAACTAGAATTGTAAATGTGACTTTTCAAAAATTGATATCAATGAAGGAAACTCTGACTCGAGAATGTAGCAGGCAGATTAAAATATAATCATTTCCGTGGTCCCAGATGTGGTTTAATATAAATAATAATAACGTGACAGGAAATGGAAGTGGGGGGGGGGGGACTCACAGGAGCTGGCGAGCCACTCTCCGCTGGGACTGAATTTGACGGAGGAGACGGCCTTAGTGTGGCCTGCTAGTGTGAACTTCAGACTGTAGTTGGGCTTGGCGGGAGCAGACTGCGGATCAGGAAAGCGGACGACAAACGTTAACTGGAAATCTTCTCAGCAGTCCCACAATTAACCATTGAGTGAGGGAGGAGTGGGGGGGGTCCATACCTTGCTTTGACTGGCGGACGCTGATGGAACAACGGGAGGTTTCGTGTCGGTCTCTGGTTTCTTGTCTTCCGTTGCCATGGTGAGAAAATGAGCATCCACTGAGTACGATCCTGCAGACAGATGGAAGTGAACATGGAGTCATTTAGAAAGTGGGATTATTAAGGTCATTGTGCTCTTCGAGCTGATTCAAAGTGGGGCACCGATTCCGCGTGGATAGTTTTATTCATTGACGTATAAAAGTAATGCTGAGCTTGTGCCGTTTTCTGTATGACGCGATGCCACGGATACGTATCCCTACAATGTATCAGGCACAAACAAACAAACAAACACAAGCAAACACCGGGGTTTGACACCGTCATTCTCCATGAAAGCGGCCGGTAGATGTACAGGCGTCGTCTTCACTAGTTAACAACATATGAACTGTGTGGCTGCTTTCTACTTTAGCACGGCGGATTTTTTGGATTTAGCAACCTAAGCTAGCAATTAGCTAGCTAACGCTATCTGGCCTGTTACAGCTGAAGGGACCGAAAGGAAACCTTTAATATAGACAGTCAGCACCAGACGTCCGCTACTAGGTAATAAATACCAAACACGTGAACGCGTGACCGCGTTTAAACGCGACGAAAATGATAACAGGAGCGATGTTAAACAAAGGGCGACACGGAACCATTCCGCTGACAGGAGCGACCACCGGACTGTTGCGCATCTGGATGATTTGAAGCCCGACAAAGAGCGAGAACAACTCCATCTTCAACCTGCCGTTTCAACAACAGCGCTAACAGGAGTGCGAACGTGTAGCCGTCTGCCTGCGGAGCATTAACGCTGTTGACAAATTGGTTGAGCCGCCACGGACGGGGCCCTCCATTCAAACGATGAAGAATCGGTCATAAGTCGATACTCACAGGGATTTAATGCAGCTTCGCGGTCCGATTGTTACTCCTCGTAAAGATTGGAGGGAGAAATGCGCGTAGTTTTGATTCAGACGACCATTGGAGGCACATTTATCAATAGGCTGGTTGCTGGCTGCTCGCCTGCGAGGAGAAGCTAAGGAGAAGCGGGGAATGTGGTGCGTTGGTGCGTGTCTGCGCATGCGCCTCGCCAGCAGAAGTGACGGAAGCTAATGAGGGACATAAATATGAAGGGCAACGTAATATAACTTTCAGTTTACCTTGGTGAAATATATATACATATATTCGCAAAGCTAAGGTGCCATGTTAGGGTTGGATGTTAGTTTGAAAATGTTTAAATTATAATATAATTTTATATTATGCGGTTTCATCTAACGTTACCTCAGGGCAGATCCAGCGCGATGATGTTACTCGAACGCAAACGAATATGCTGTTGGCAAGTACAATACTGGAAAGGAAATCAGTCTTCTCCCGACACCATACGGCCCCAAAACCCTCCACTCCAGCAGGCGGCGTGTGTGTGCGTTGGTGCACAGTTCCGGGCAGAGGAGCGCACGTTCCTGGCCTCAGGTTTGTTGTTTGGTTTGGAAAGTTGGTCAAACGGCGCCTTTCGTCTAGTCGCTAAATCAGTTTGCTTGTTTGACGTCATGTGCTCAGTGCCCGTGAACCATCGCTTTAACCTGCTTTCTTAAGAAAGGGAGTTAGTGAAACCTCCCGTAACGCCAGTTCTCCTGAATGTGTCCCCCCCCCCGCCGCTCCCCCCGGGAGACCGTTTACCGGGCCGTTATGTGAGGACAACAGGTAACGTGAGCTCGTGAGGGAACGTTAACTAACGTTAAGTTCACTCCGCGTCAAAGCGTTTCAGCGAAGCAACATTGAATGCCAAATCTTCAAATGGGTGATTTGCGACTTTATTCGAAAGACTATTCGTTATTTTGAAACGGCGTCTTGTGATGACGCTGTGCACGTTTACGTTACTTTCCCTTGCTAGCTAGCTAGCTAGCTGCCGTTAATACCGTTAAAGCCAGTGGCGTTGTCGTGCGTGCTGCTGTAAAGTTTCACTTCATTGACGCTACCTGTGAATCTTCACTGTCCAAACCCTGACCGCCTTTTCACGTGTAAACTGACTATAAAACGCATCACAACCAGAATGTATTCCAAAAAAAAGGGGAAGCCTTAATTATGTATTAAAATAACAACAAACACCTGTTACTCACATTCCAGTCGTCACACGTCCCGAATCATCAGCCGCAGTGGGGACACCATGCAGACACGTGTCCCCCCACTTAAATGGACTGCAACCGGACAGCTTCAACCCGGCACGGAGTCTGTTGGGCTTTAGTGTGCGCGCCTGTTACTACACTTACTGTGTTGGCAAGTCAGTGTGTTCGATGAGCTCTTTCATTTTTATTTGGCTCGTAGATGCAGAATAGTAGAATTGAAGAATACAGCTTGTACTTCATATATCTCTTCATAAAGATCCACGAATGATCCCTCTCCCACCACTCACAGAACTCCACGAAACGATTGAGCCTTCAGAGCCTTTTGATGGGCTGACGGATGAAACGGCGTTCCCAGGAGATAACGGCGTTGGCGTCTCAGGGGCCCCGTCGCAGCCATGTCAGAGGAGCCTCCGCCGTTCGTGAACCCTCCGCCTCCTGAGGTCACCAACCCCGTGGGGCCCCGCCGGAGGACCAACCAGCTGCAGTACATGCACAACGTAGTGATGAAATCCCTGTGGAGGCACCAGTTCTCGTGGCCTTTCCACCAGCCCGTTGATGCAGTCGCTCTTGGGCTACCAGTGAGTAGTTGGAAAGAGATTTCAAAAATGTCCAAAGGGTTGGAAAAAAAAATATTTGAAACATTTGTATCAATTTATTATTTACGTCTTCAAAAACATAAATCTAAATATTTTTTAAGGTATTAAGTTATTTCAAATCATGATTGGACAAATAGTGAGGCTTCCAGAGGACTTCGTTATAAGGTATTTACTTATTCCTGATATAGGCAGGTGTATTTTTGTGAAATACATTTATTTTATTCCAAACAAACTAATGTGGCCTGAAAAAGGTTCATTCTTTGTGCACATGAACTCCCTTGTGTCTATTATACCCGTCTGTAATGTTTTGTATGTTTTCTCGCTTCCTCGCTTTTCTTTCACTGAAGTAAAACTGCTTCTGAATTCCTAAATCTTCTTTCTTTTGTCATTCTTTTGTTGCCACTATTAATCTCGTTTCTTTCAACACCGTTTTCAATCGTTTCTTTTTTTGGTTTCGTAATAACTCGCAGACCTCATAGTCACTCGTCCCATCCATTATTTACTGAGCCCATACATGTGACAAACTTGACTTTATACTTTTAAGCAGTCACACTAATTATGGAATTCTATGGAAACTTAATTGTATCAACTAATGTATCCCAACTTTTCTTACATATTCTACACTGTAGCTCCTTTTTTGTCCCAATTAAAACCGGGGAAACACCCTGAGTGATGATCCATCTTTTTCAGCGATATGTTGGTGTGATGTCGATTTCAGAACGGGGTTTCCAACCATTCCTTCATCCAACATGGATTTCCAAATCTCTGAGGCGGATATGCAAAAGTACAAAATAAAACCAAAAACATCTTCTGTGCCTGGATACTTTGTTTCCAATTCCAGGTTATTACAATTTGTCTGTTATATTTGTCACTGTGACCACATTGTAGGCGTGTGAATAAACAAACCTTCTAGCTGGATGATCCAAACCACTTTGTGAGGAGGTGAATCCGAGAATTAAACGTTGGTAACGCGCCCCCCCCATGCAGAGGAAAAATGTGCATGAACCACTGAACTCAGACGTTTTCACAGGTCACCTTCGTGCTCGTATAAAGTTCTAGATAAATGTGGCTCGTCTGCAGTTCTGTCTCTTTTGATCAATGTCGCTCTGTTTCTAGATCTCTGCATTATCCAAATGATTGGAAACTGGAATCATACCGGAAACGGCGACTATTTAAATATAGCAATCCCGCGCTAATACTTTTCCTCTTTTGATTTATTCAGAAAATGTGGGAAGGAAACAAAAAGAAAGTTTGACCTTCATGTGACCCGTTTTTTCTCTCTCTCCGTCAGGATTACCATCAGATCATAACATTTCCCATGGACCTGGGAACCATCAAGAAGCGACTGGAGAACGACTACTACTGGAGTGCGAGTGAATGTTTGCAGGACTTCAACACCATGTTCACCAACTGCTACATCTACAACAAGGTAAGGAGGTCTGGGAACGCCACGCGGCGGCTCGCCTCACATCGGGCTGAATGCTCACGCCCCCCCCCCACACCTCCTGTCCTCTAGCCCACAGATGACATCGTGCTGATGGCGCTCGCCGTGGAAAAGGTTTTCTTGCAAAAAGTGGCACAGATGCCGCAGATGGAAGTGGAGATCATTCCTCACGCCCCGAAAAGGAAGGGCAGAAAAAATAGCACCCCAGGTAACGTACAGGCTGTGGTACGAACAGGAAACACTGCTTCAGGCCACTGTTTTTACTTTTGGTTTCAATCGAAACACAAATGCATGCATGCCCTGCTTTCACTTTGGTTTCATTTTATTAGTTAAGCAACGTGACAAAATGCACTTTGCAAAAAAGTATGGTATGTTTTGAACAGGCTCCTGTGGGTTATGCTGTGGAATAACTGAACCGGCCTCCCGTCATGTGGTAGCAGGTTGGGTGACAATACGTCATCTTCTCTCTTTCCAATTCAGTTTTAGAGCGATGAAGAATTGATTGTGTTGCTAAAAGTTGCTAGCTGGTTTGGGGCGGCAGAGATTTGAAGGTTTGTGCTTCAACTCTGTCCAAGAGAAGTGGTTCTAAAGGTGCGTCAGGCTTTGTCCAGAGAGTTGGATAGTAAAGAAAAACAGGCCAAACTCTCACCAGCGTTCATTGCATACTGCGATGGGCCGGTCCATCATAGCAGCAACATCACTGAAAAGGTCCTGGGAAATGTCGTGTGTTTGATCCACAGCTGCAGGCGGACAGAAGGGAGCCGAGACCACGTGTCCATCGGCCGCGACACCCGCCACTCAGCCGAGCCCCAGCAAGCTGCCCTCCAGCTCATCCTCCGTGCCCAAACGGCCTTCACACGCCGCCGCAAAAGTGAGTCGCCTTCCTCTGGTGTCGGCATAAGAATCGCAGATCACGAGGTGAGCTTTCCCCTTATTGTGGTGTTTTTTTGTTGTTTTTTTTGATGGAGAAGAAAGGGCTGAAGCGGAAGGTGGAGGGCGCCACCAACCTCTCCACAGAAGCTGAAACCCCTAAAGACGCGGCCCAACAGAAGGGGTCCGAACAGCTCCAGCACTGCAACGATATCCTGAAGGAGATGCTGTCCAAGAAGAACCTGGTCTACGCGTGGCCTTTCTACAAGCCCGTCGACGCTGAAGCTCTGCAGCTGGACGACTACCACCACATCATCAAGTACCCCATGGACCTGACCACAGTGAAGGTACGAGCTGCGCGGGGACTTTTTCCTCCACGGTCACCTTGATGTTGTCCTGATGACTTTTTCCATTTCCAGAAAAAGTTGAACGGAGGAGAGTACGCGGATGCACAAGGCTTCGCCGCAGACGTTCGGCTCATTTTCTCCAATTGCTACAAATACAACCCGCCACGTCACGATTTTGTCTCTAAGGCCATAAAGCTTCAGGTGCTTTTTGAATGAATGAATCAACTAATGAATCGAACAAGTTTTGCAGGGTTTTTATGTCACTTGTTTGTCTTTTCGTCACTGTGCATGCGTTTACTTCAGGCTTTGTTCGAGAAGAGGTTTGCAAAGATCCCAGAGGAGCCGGTGGAGTTGCCGTCGCCGGCCAGGAGGGCGGGTTTTAGTGGGAACGGCTCCTACAACGCCGAAAAATCAGACTTGGGGGACGAGTGGGCCGAACCCGCCCGACGCGCTGGCTTTCAACAGCCGGTGGGTTTCAACTCTCACGGTTCCTCTTTGCTTTGCGATGCCTCTGAATTCCTGATGGGGTCATTGACTTCTAGTTCAATTATGTAACCTTTTTACTACAGTGAGCCGAAGCGTTATTTCATTTTCCGCTGTGCTGAGAGTTCTCTGGAGCAGACATTATGTTTTGTACGCCGAAATGTCAGGTTTCCCCACAGGCATATGGCAGAATACTGTACATATCCAGCCTATGACATCATATCATCATATATTAACACGTTATGCACAACACAGGAAGCAACCTTGTTCAATGAGAGCTTGAAAGGGTAAATCTCTCAATGAGACTTCCTTGTCGTTATGTCCCTCCACCACACAGAAGCTACCCTGACAGGATTTCCTGCTCTTACTAATTTTTTTGGCACTTTTCCAAACGACCATATGTGGCACCACAAAACCAATTTATCTCTGTGTTGATACGGCTTCAAACTGTTTATGGACAGCTGTCTGCCTACTGTGACGTCTCTGCGCGTCCACCCAATAAGGGGAACGACAAGGACACGAAAGAGGACAACAGGCAACAAGAAGGCAGCGCGAATCCCAACTCCAGGTAGGATGTTTCACAGAATTCAAAGTATTATCAAAGAATGTCACTCCCACGTGCTGATCGCTTTCGCTCAAAATGTCAGGTGCTCGTGGTTGGGGAGCGACGTCTGGGATTCAGAGGACGAAAGTCTGCAGATGACGTATGACGAGAAGCAACAGCTGAGCCTCGACATCAACCGCCTACCCGGGCTGAAGCTGGGCCGCGTGGTGCACATCATCCAGAGGCGAGAGCCCTCGGCGCACGACACCAACCCAGACGAGATCGAGATCGACTTTGAGATACTGAAGCCGTCCACTCTCCGGGAGCTGCAGCGATACGTCAAGTCGTGTCTGTATAAGAAGTTCAAGAAATTTCAAAGTAAGTAGGGGCCATGGTCCCAGCTTCCCTGGAATCGTTCGTATTATTGTTGGTATGTGGACACCTCTGACGCAGCAAGATGCGTATTTTGTGTGCAGGTAGACCAGGCTTTATGCTGAAGGACCTCTTGTTACAGTGACTCACACGTACCTGTTTTATACTGCGATTAACACTCATGAACCCGTGCGGTCGAGCTCACAGCTGCTAGTGCACGTCTGACCCAAGCTGCTAGTGCACGTCTGACCCAAGCTGCTAGTGCGCGTCTGACCCAAGCTGCTAGTGCGTGTCTGACCCAAGCTGCTAGTGCATGTCTGACCCAAGCTGCTAGTGCGCGTCTGACCCAAGCTGCTAGTGCATGTCTGACCCAAGCTGCTAGTGCGTGTCTGACCCAAGCTGCTAGTGCACGTCTGACCCAAGCTGCTAGTGCACGTCTGACCCAAGCTGCTAGTGCACGTCTGACCCAAGCTGCTAGTGCGCGTCTGACCCAAGCTGCTAGTGCGCGTCTGACCCAAGCTGCTAGTGCGCGTCTGACCCAAGCTGCTAGTGCGCGTCTGACCCAAGCGGCTAGTGCGCGTCTGACCCAAGCGGCTAGTGCGTGTCTGACCCAAGCGGCTAGTGCGTGTCTGACCCAAGCGGCTAGTGCGTGTCTGACCCAAGCGGCTAGTGCGTGTCTGACCCAAGCGGCTAGTGCAAGTCTGACCCAAGCGGCTAGTGCGTGTCTGACCCAAGCGGCTAGTGCAAGTCTGACCCAAGCGGCTAGTGCAAGTCTGACCCAAGCGGCTAGTGCAAGTCTGACCCAAGCGGCTAGTGCGCGTCTGACCCAAGCGGCTAGTGCGTGTTTGTCCCAAGCGGCTAGTGCGTGTCTGACCCAAGCTGCTAGTGCGCGTTTGTCCCAAGCGGCTAGTGCGCGTTTGTCCCAAGCGGCTAGTGCGCGTCTGACCCAAGCTGCTAGTGCGCGTCTGACCCAAGCGGCTAGTGCGCGTCTGACCCAAGCGGCTAGTGCGCGTCTGACCCAAGCGGCTAGTGCGCGTCTGACCCAAGCGGCTAGTGCGCGTTTGTCCCAAGCGGCTAGTGCGCGTTTGTCCCAAGCGGCTAGTGCGCGTTTGTCCCAAGCGGCTAGTGCGCGTCTGTCCCAAGCGGCTAGTGCGCGTCTGTCCCAAGCGGCTAGTGCGCGTCTGACCCAAGCGGCTAGTGCGCGTCTGACCCAAGCGGCTAGTGCGCGTCTGACCCAAGCGGCTAGTGCGCGTCTGACCCAAGCTGCAGCACAACGGCCAGAGAGTGAGTTTGGTTAACAGAACCAGCAGCACACGGTGCTGAGTGCTTCCCCTCCACTGGGCAGAGTTGAATTGGTGATGGTGCTTCCTTTGCTCCCCTCCATCCAGAGTTAAGCAGTCGCTCAGCGCCTCATCTCGTCAGCCGCAGCACTTCCTCAGATTCTGCCGCCAGCACCTCCAGTGACTCCAGTTCAGAAAACAGCGACTCCTGACGGCTGTAATATTTATATTTATATTTATTTCTTTGTTTATTATCAAAAGAGAGCTCTGCGAAACTGTCGAACATGCCTATTTTCCAAATGTTTAAATATTTAGGTATGGGAATTTGATTGTACTCTGCCTTTCTCACTCATTCCTTGTACATCGTAATATCCGGCAATGGTATTTCTTATCAGCGGTTATAAATTGAATGGGGCATATTTCATAACATGGGAGTTTAATATCCTGTTTCTGTCACTCATTTTGCCCGCGCTCTTTAATTACAAGACGGGCCCTTTTCAAAACACGCCATTGAAATGAAGTAATATTCTTCTCAACATCATTTTTTGCAGCAGACCACTTTCTATAGTAGCTCATGAAGGATGTTGTGTAAGAAACAACCTCAAGCACGTTGCACAGTTATGAGGGCTGCTGTGCTGTCTGAGACCTTCATGGTGACCATATAGTCATGTAGTCTAAACCTGTACTCCGTATCAGGTGTGGAGGAAGCATTATCTATGTTTTGCTGTTCAGCACTAAATGCATGTGCCAATTTTATTTTCTACCTTTTTAAAATATTTTGTTTATTTTCTTTGACTTCCACTTTTTTTGGTTGTCATCCGCGATATAAAATACTGCTCGTACACACTGCTAGTGTCGAGCCGTCCGTCAAGCAGTAATCACCTCTGTTGAATGTTTGGGGCATAATGCAGAGCTGTAAGTGTGTTTCCCCCCCCAGGCTTCCTAACATGGTATGGAAGTCAACTTGAGTTCATTGATGTAAACATCATGCCTGCTGTTCTTCACGCCCCCCCCTACCCCCCCTTCCCTGTTGCACGCCGTTTCATTGCTGCTTTTTCAAACCTGTTAAAACGCTAACAACCTACTTTGTGTTTAAGTCTCTAGATATCCAAAATGCCATCTTTATATTAACGCTTTATATGCTCTTGTTTCCAACTATGTTTTTTTTTTACTATTTGGTTGCTAATAATAATGACAACATTTGTGATCAAATAATATTCCATTTACTGTTTTGTTACGTTAATAAAAGTAAAAGCACAAAGGTGTCGATGTGTTTGTTCAGCATACGTAGTGTGTTTGTGTCCGTGGGGCGCTGACATGGTGGCAGAGAATATAAACTGGAGATCTGTGTGAGAGCTGCAGTTCAGTGGATCAACCAGCAGGTGGCCCTCGTGCACTACTCTTAATATACTTTGATGACTTGTTGTGGTTTGGCTGTGGTATTTAATACGTGGATACTGCAGTCAGGATCGATTTATATAGCCCTTATGCAAATCTCTATACATGTATTTCATTATCACTATTAAAACAAAGCTTGGTGATTTCCATCAAAGACTAAAAAGTATTTTTGAAAGAACATGAATTTAAGGGGAGACATTTTGGGCCAATCCCAAACTTCCGGCAAACCCCGTGAGGGTTTGGGTCCGTCCCACTGTCCCGCTGGCGAGTGTTAGTGGGCTCTCGGCTATTTTGAGTACCCTATGAACCCTTTCTGCTCCAGAGAATTACCCACAATTCATTGCAATGTCACATTAAAAATGGATAACCAGTGACTGCATGGAGACCGCAAAAGTGCCGTCGTCTTTTGGTTACCTTTTTTATGTTAGTCATATTAAAATGTATACGTTTAAAGCATTAAGATGGAGAAGTAAATCATGCATACTTTATTTACTCAGTTCTTCGTCAAATATTTAATTTTGTCATTCAAGCTATTTTGACGGAAAACAGTATAACATTATTTTAAATGACCTCTTATGAGGACATAGCCTGGAAGATGCACATCAAAGAATGAAAAGTGTGAAATAAATACGCTCAATTGAAAATTGTATTTAGATGTGGCAGCAGTGCTGTCCCATTTATATTTACACCATTTCAAGCCCTCGCTCTCACTCAACCCCTTAAACCACCGTTTAGCGCGTGACCTCAGTGAGGTCCCTGGGGGTTCAGGGTCAGGGTGGACATTGGGACCGGAATATTGCTTTTCATACCTTGGTCAATTTTGCTTTTATTTCAATGTCCTCTCAGACTTGTAGAAAATGAACATCCAAATGACATATTTAGCTGTGTATTTGACTAATTTTATCCTTTAAGTTCTTGAAGATTAGCATGAAATGATGCCTTATTTGAATATTTGAACACAAAGTATTAGCAAATGTAATCATCCCACTGGGGAAGTTGCATGGTGGTGTCTTTAGTTTAATACCTGAAGTGTCTTGCAAAATGCCTGCGATTTTATTAAACATATGTTTAAAGACCATATACTTTAAAAAAAGATCTCTCAGACCCTTGAGAAATAAATCTCCTCTTCAGCTGCTGCGGGTATTCCAGATGTGTTATTGAGGGCTTTGTTCATATATCATTCACAGCCTAAATTCTAATAGATTTGATCAAAACATGGCAAAAAAAACAATTTTTCCATTGCTCTTGAAAGTATTTGTCGAGTGATACAAATATATCTTAAATTCCAGTTGTATAAGCATTTGACTTCTATATCAACACAATTTATTTAATTGTAAAAATGCTGAGATCCACATAACAAGGCAAATAAACAAATTCCTTATTAAGAGAGGCCTGTTTAACGTCATTTGAGCCACACAAACGAGCATGAGGCACACATATATCTGACTCTTCCCTTGAAGTAAAACATTTCAACCCTGGACCCTTCCTACTACACTTTTGACAGGTCGTAGTTTTACTTCACCTTATTGGGAGTATCTGTATTTGAGGTGTGTGGAGGAGCACACAGAAAGGGGGACAGACATTCCTCACTTGACGGAACGTGCTCAAGGTTTTTCTTACTAAAGAATAGTGCATATTAGCCGTGCATCAGTGCTGGGCCCCGACCACACATGCCATTTGTATTTTTCCCCTGTTCTTGCGCTGCGTGATTGATCAACGCCGCGACTTCAATGACAACAAGTCATTTCTGCCACTTGAGTTCATCGCTCATGACGCATGGAGCCGATAAAAGGACCACACGTATGCAGCCCTGCAGCCACATTGGACCAGTCTGTGTGTGTGAGTGTGGGTGTGTGTTCGCTTTGATTAATGGATCCCTGGTTTTCATTTTAGTTTCACCAACTCTTGGAAGAACATTCAGTGCAAAAAAACAAAAAACAGGCAGTACATTTAGATCAAAGTATGTAGAGCGACCTGCACATGTTTACACTTCTGTTCGGTGAGGTACGCAAAACTAAAATACATCAAGAATCTTATTTGCCGGCACTGTTAACAGTTAAAGTAAATGCCCTCTCTTTTGTTAATGCTCAATTGGTAAAATATATATATATATATATATATAATGCATACTAATATAATTTAAAACCATTATATATCCAAGGAGATTGCTGAGTGTGTGGTTTTGCAGCGCTGCACTGCATCACATACATTTTGCATGTGCATTCGTTTTCCCTAGATTTATACTCGGCAGTATTCCTGGATCAGCTAATGGCCAACCTACCTGTCGCCCCGTCTCTCTGCCATTTAGGTCCTGGGCAGGTTTTTTTTTGTTTGTCGCTTATGATTTTGTCGGCATATCTGCGTGTTCCAGTGGGAACATCTAGCAAAGCTGTTCGATCACGCTTTTGCCTTTTTATCCATCTTGCTCTGGAGCAAGTACTCCATGGTGACTTTCAGTCTGCTGGTTGCTGCTACTCCATCCGGGGGCTCACAGGCCTGAGGATGAACACAGCCTGCCCTGGTGAATGTACCACAGGGTCACCGTGAACAAAAGCAAAAGCGCCCCCGGGCCCCACAGGCTGTCATGCACTCACCTCGCCAGCAGATGTGTGAAACTGCAGGAGAAGGCTATTCTGAAGGTGTGTGGTACGCGGGATGTGAATGATACAATGCCTGTGCTGAACGGGGTTCTGTTTAAAATGTTGACTTACTAAGTGAACATTGTTGAAGTGCAGGCTTGTACCTCCGGGTCACCGATGATGGGCGGCAGCTATCATGGGAAACGTTGCGCTGAAGTGCAGCCAGCACTGTCTCGAAACACATTCCCTTTCTAAAGAAACTCATGACATCAGACAGCGCCGCTCTATTTTATGCCCGGAGATGAATTTGCCAAATGTGTTACATCCCAGAGGAAATGTGAAGGTGAGCAGGGACGATTATGACTGAGGTTGGCCGGGTAATGAGACATGACACAGAGGGTTTAACAAGAAACAGGTGGCGTATTGATTCTAGTGACAATAAAGTGATTAATTGACCAATTTAGATTATTTTCCTAACAAGGGCTGACATTGGTTAATCTACTGAAGACCGGGAAAGAAAAATAAGGGAACAGCAAGATTTTAAAAAAAGGAACAAAATGAAATGTAATGTCTCAAAATGGCAGAGGACACTTTAAGAATAACTGGTGCTGTTTGTGACTGCGTCCCGTGAGCGATGCTGAATGAGAGCGGTGCGAGTCGAACCGATAGTTTGAGCAAAAGAAACCATTTAGTTGAAGGATGCTGAAATGCTGAGCGAAAACGGAGCAGACGTGCCGATTCTGTGATATTTCTCGCACTACGAGCGGCACCTTTCACGGTAAAGTTGAGCATGTAATGTCACTGGTTTGAAGGCCCAAATCAACCCATGCAATTCTCGGAGAATAACTTCCATTAGCCAAATCTTTTCTATAAGTTATCATAGCAAGAAAAAAAACAAAAGTCAAAGTGTTGGCTAAGACTTTATGCTATCAGGTAATGAAAAAAGCAAAAACCAAACACAGGTATGATTAGGACAACATGGAATCCATTTACCTCATGAGTAGACTGGCCTACAGATTAGATTAAACATTCATTAATAAATAATAAATGCATTTCTATTACGTCCCTCCCACGGTCCATCAACAGTAGTACCTGAGTGGTTTGTGAGGATGCTTCATAATTACCGTAAAATGTCAGTCCAGCAGTTTATTAATGTGCATTATGTTCTGACTTGCAAGATAAGTGAAACTTTTACGATGAAACTGTGAAAATTGAAGCAGCAGAGGCCTATGTATCCTGATTTATCGGTTATACGGGTAAATACCTGGAAACGGTCGATCCTACATTTCCCATAATGCAACTCAGATCTGTTTTATAGTCATTCCCTTGCCAACGCCTTTTAAACGCATTTTTTTTAAATCTGGATGTGTGTTTTGTTGTTGTTGTTGTGCCCGTGTAGGCCGACGTGTTATGGGCCATGACACAATATAGAACTGCCCCTTTAATAAAAGCCCACAACCCATAATCCTTCATTTAATGCAACAACATACACGTTCCCCACAGTCACTGCGAACGGACACCGGGTCAACAGTCTGTCCCACAACGTGTCCCCGCATCCCGCATCCTGCGAGAAGCCTGGACGCTGTCTCCTCGGTGGACGTCCCCGTGGGAGAGGGAGACAAGGAGAGAGGGGGGGGGGGGGTCAGAAAGAGAGTGAGAAAAAAAAAAAGAGGGGGGGGGAGACACGAACGAAAGGGAAGCAGGAATCACAGACATGCCCAGCTGCACACACGCGCAGCGGCGCTGTTTGGGGGCGTGCAGAAAGGCGCCAAACAAAGTAGCGTTTACCGGATAAGCGTGAACACGGCTGTTTGTTGTTTTTACCCCCCCCGCCCCCAGCCCCCCCTTAAATGGAAATATTTCCGCTGGCGGAGTGCGGCGTTTAGCCCGTGTGTTGTGGAAAAGAGGGCTCCGGCGTTCTGCAAACACCGCCCCCCCCCCCTCCTCACCCCACGACCACCGGACTCATTTGCTGTGGATATTACGGGAAGTTTTTTTGGTGTGTGTGTGTTTGTTTTTGACGTCTAACTTTTCGGGAAAAACGTGAGACGCTGAACCGGCGAGCCCGGGCTTCGGTTGGACACGCGGGCTCCGCGCGCCCGCCGCGACGCTGTCCGGCTCCCCGAAATGTGAGCCGCTGCACCGAAGTCCGTACATGACAAACCCGCTGCCCCCAGCTGTTTCCCCGCGCCCCCCGCTCCAACCCGCCGTTCAACTGTTCTAAAACCAAGTATTTCCCCCCTCTCACCCCCTCGGATTGGATATGCGAAGCAAACTTTTTGACAATGAAGAGGAGAAAATTCCCGTAGCACGTCTCTGTCGTCCATCGCCGCCGCCGCGCGCGCTCAACGGGACCCGCGTGAGTGCTCCGCTCCGTCCCTTCCGAGCCTTCCCTTCCACGTCGCGGAGACGGCACAGTTGACATGCGTCTGGGAGGGGGGGTGTAACCGCGGGGAGGCACGGTTGCGAAATCGCCCGATTAGCTGATAGTGAATGATTGCAATAGGTTCCCGGGCGCAGGTAAGGGAGCCCTCGTCCGCCCGCTCGCGCAACCTCAGCTCCGCCGCTCGAGCCACTTCGGGGATCCGTCTTCAGTACTTTTGTGTGCGCGGGGAGTCGGCGGCGCCCCAAACCCCGGAGCCGCTATGGAGGAGTGGAGACAATGCGGGCGGTGGTTGATAGACTGCAAGGTCCTGCCCCAGAACCACCGGGTCGTGTGGCCCTCGGCGGCCGTCTTCGACCTGGCGCAGGCGCTGCGAGACGGGGTGCTGCTGTGCCAGATGTTGCACAACCTCTCGCCGGGTTCGGTGGACCTGAAGGAGATCAATTTCAGACCCCAGATGTCACAGGTGAGTCGCGAACCTCCGTTTTGATTCATGTAAGCGCGCACGCACGCACGCACGCGCACACACCCCTCCGGGCTATGCGTGCTGTGACCGTAGCCAACGCATACAAACACTCTTACATGCTGGTCTTTGGATTGCTCTATTCCTCATCCACTCCCATGTTCCATGCATTGTTTGGGAGGTTTGGAACGGCATTTTACAGCATCCCACTCCTGGATTTTTGGACCCCCCCCCCCTCACACACACACCCACCCTCAGAAGATCCACTCTCAGACGCACAGATGTGCACGCTGTAACACAAGCAGCACCAGGCTGGAGGAGCTACGGTGCTGCCGCCACACCTCAAGTTTAATCTCGTCTCCGGTTGCCTTGTTCTCTTGTTGTTTCGCCTAACGCGAAGAAGCGTGACATTGTCTCGAGTACCCCAACAAGGGGCAGTGGTCTGTAGGACGCTCGCTGTCAAGACGATGAGTGGGTGGTAATTGAGTATTATCCAGTCAAACCCAAGGTGGTAATTCGGTGTTCTACTTTAGTCGTCCTTTTTCTGCCGCCATCCAGCCGGCTGTGACAGCTCCACGTGGACAAACGAAAGCACAATCCTTGAAAGTCTTCTTGTCTTAGGAAACGCCACCTGTATGGTCTCCCTTTGAAATCCAGCGCTGAGGACCGCTTGTTGTTTGCTTTTGTAAATGTTACCCGTGTCGCATTGCAGAAGGGATTGGATGGAAACAACATCATAAAGTCCCCTACAAGTCCTTTTCCAGTAGAGGAACAGTTCAGAGTTTAGATTGTTTGGCGGTTTTGAATCACCGTTGCCGAAGTCTCTATGGAGGTGCCTCTCCTCTTGAGCTCATTCTTGTTTCCAGAAAAATAATGCGAGGAAGTGTTGGGTGAACACGAGGAAGTGCAGACAACCTCAGCGGAGGATTGAAAGTCTTCCGTGGCAAATGCTCCCCTCGGCCGATTCAGTACAGCTGAGCCTCCCCTCAACGCACAGGGATTTAAGTCTGTGAATAGATAGTTCCAGGTATTCTGCCAGTCACGCCCTCTCGCAGGCCGAAAGCTGCGATGGCAACGTAGCCATTGACCTCCTGTAGCTCATTGGTGTGATATTCCCTGGCACACCTTCCCTGACCCCTTTCTATCACAATAACGAGTGAGTGAATGTGTGTGTTGCATCTGTCTGTCTGGCTGCCTCTTTTTTGGTGTTTTGAGTGATGAAACATCCTGTAGTCCATCACCAGAAATGCCCTCCACACTTCTGATAATCCATTGACCCCGAGCTCAATGGAGGGCTTTGTAATCGCTAACCAGATTGTGGGGACAAATAACTTGAAAAGATACAACTTGTCCGCTTGCAGGTAAAAAAAAGATTAATATCTAAAACCATTCTGTGCCAACCAAGTATTTCCTTTGTATGTGTTTGGAGCCTCCGTATTAAACAGTGATGAACGTCCTTGGGCCCGGTTCTGTTGCATTGAACCCAGAAGAGGGGCCGCGCCTGGTCGTTGGCTCTGGGAAGACGTAATGGCCATATCGGCATTGATGGGACCAAATGCTTAAAATAATTCACGTTAGTGGCAAATCTTGTCCTCCTCTCTGTTTTGCCTAGTAACAACCAGTAGCCGAGACTTAACAGCTCAGAGGCCACTGACTTCTGTGATTACTGGGCGAGCGAGAGGGAGAGAGGGAGAGAGGGTCTGGATGGCACACTTTGATCTGCCCCCTAATCCCATGCTCCCACTGAGTGTGAATCCTCAGCGAGGGTGGAAGTGGGGGTAGTCCTCAGTGACAAATTGGGTTAAACCAAATCCTGGCAGCAGAACAGTGGTGTGTGTGTGTGTGTGTGTGCCTGTGTGTGATTTATGATAAGCAAAAAGGTCAGAGAGCGGGTGATTTTTAGCCAGCGGAGTCGGCGGGCCACATGAAGACAAGGTGAGGCGGAGCGATGACATCATTCGGTCCTGATTGATGCGTTCTCAAATTGAGTTTAGTCTCGAAATATGCCCTGCTTGTTAAACAGTTAGTCTCGGTGTGTTTGACCCAGGTGCTACCGGGGAAGTTTTAATGCTGCGTGACCCCCCCCCCCCCCCCCCCAGCCTCCGAGAGAAGCATCCAGCCAGAAGGGATTCTTTTCATTCTCCTGACCCACACGTTTGGCCCAGTGGCTGCTGTTAACAGACCCTAATCCCAGTTTAGCTATTGGGAGTGAGCCCTGCGGAGCTTTACCTCTGGGCCTCATCGCTTTCTGCAGCTCGGAGGGAAGTCGTAGCAGCAACACTGAGGTCATTTTTGATGAGGTGTCCATAAAACGGCATGTGGGCGTATGAATGTTGAGTACGCACAACAACCGTAGCTCTTTAACATGAGCTTTGTGATTTGTAGCTTTTCAACGTTTTCTAGGGCGGATGTCTTAGCGAGCAGTTTGAGACTGTAAAGGGGGGCTTTTGATTTGTCCCTCCTGCACCGAGCCAACACAATAGACTCAAGAAGATCCTGGGTTTCCAACACAGAAATGTCACAAAGGGGGCCAAGTTCTCCTCGTGTGTGTTGGTTGTTTTTATAGCTGATTATTAAATGTTTTGATAATCTATACAGTGTGAAAGGCATTTATTAAGAAGTAACACATCTAATTCTTGTATCTACAATGTAATGTGTTTTTTCTGTAATATTTGTACACTGACAACATACTGGTAAGCAGCATTTGAAGGTGGAGGTCTTATCTGGGATTTTCTCACATCTTTAAGAAATAAATGAGGGTCCGAAAAATGCGTTCTGAGCAGTGTGCACATTGAGGTGTACAGTGTATATTTAAGTGAGCGAAGGACCGTGGCTACACCAAGGAAAACAGTAGATATGTCAGGACCCAGGTACTTTCATGGATCTGTAGCACATCTTATCGGGCTACACTTTGTATATCATATATATATATCATATCATGGCTGATCACAAGAGGTGGGGGAATAAGATTTTCATTTCTTATGTTTTAGTGTGGATTTTCTTTTTTTTTATTAGTGCTGGGTGGAATCAAATATCCTTTTAGTAAGAATTTTTCACACCGGTGCATAGCTAGAAACGACGGTTTCTTCAGCAGGCAGCAAAACGAGAGACCGGAGATGAACCGATACAAGTTGGGCCCCAAGAGAGGAGCTGTGTGCTGGAGTGGAGTTTTTTCATTTTTGAAAAACCCGACGTAAGTTGGATCAGAAAACGATTCATTGCAACACAAGCAGCCACAACAGCTAACACGCTAACTTGCTGCCCGGTTGCGAGCGGTGGACAATGGGCGGGAGCAGCTGTTCAGGTGGTCAGCGGTCCTTTCTGCCGCAATGAATGTGTTAAAAAAATACTGCCAAAATCAATTAAAATACAGTGAAATTCATTTTTGGCCATTCCGACCAGCCCTATTTCGTATGTGCGAATATTTCTTTTTCGCGTAACTCATCGCTGAAAGGAGGCGTGAAGTACCACTTCCTCTTCCTCCTTCCTTCTCAGGAGCTGGTTCAAGACGACCTTCGCGAAGGCGGTCAGATAAATCTCTACTTGTATTTGTTTCTGAATGCTCAGCAAGGCTGGCCTCTCTACCTCCAGGCCGAGAAACGGGCGCTTAATGAGCTCCGGTGCTTCGGAGCTCCAGAGTGTGCACATACCCAGAATCCAACGCCTCGGGCTGCGTGTGAAAGATGAGACCGAGCCATGCTCTCTGAAGCCTTTTGTATGTTTTGCTTTTTTTCCCCCCTTTCACTTAGCGTTTCTCATTTTTTTTTCTGCTGCTAGTGAGGTGGTTGTGAAAGCCTTTGGGATGACTCAGCCAGATATCAATGTGTGCGGATTGCAGTGTGAGTGAGAGATGGTACAGCAACCTGTTCTCAGACCTGATTCCCGGTTGGCTGAGCTGCGAGGGCTCCTTCCACATCTCACGCAGAGCTGGCTGCGTGAGAAATCTTTTAAAAAAATATTAAAAATACATTTTACAAATAGTCAATTTGTGTCTATTTCTGTTTTTGATACATGGAATATACCCAGTAATATTTGTAAATTAAGATATCTGCGCATATAATATGCTTTTCCTGCACACTCACGAAAGTTAATGAGTGACGTTATATTTTTAGCGTCTCAAAATGTATTGAGTTTTGGGCATTGCTCTCGCCGCCCTTCGCTGCGCTCTCATCAGGTGAGTCTCGTGCCGCGCCATTTAATAACATAACAAGAGCGACCGCCGGCAGTGTCCTTCCAAGAAGACCCGACCCGAACTCGGTACCGAACCCGAACTTTGCCGGAGAAACTAGAGGTAAAACAGCTGGACCAGATCAGCCTGACGTTACAATCAGACAACGGACCGGCGTGAAAGGAAAGCCGACGCTTCTTTACCGATGCTACACCGGTATGTTTAGCTAGCTAGTAAGCTACGTGCTAACGCTGTATATACGCGCACCGCGTGCAGGCCTGTGTTTGTAAGTGGAGGCTGGTTGACCGCAGCGATAACGCCGTTGCTACCATCTGCGACACAAACAGGACTGCAGTGAGGATACACAACCAGGACCTGGATAAAAACAGGGACATTTACCCCAAAATAATTCATTCTGTGAAGTTTTGTGGGTCTTTTGAGTTGGTCCTTCCTCAACACACCAATTGGGTGTTTGCCCAACAAACTAGGTTCATAGGTGCATCTCCATAATAAATATATATAACATAATTACTGAACTGTTTAAATAAGATGTCCTAATAATGTTAAACTGTTGGAATAAATGTTAAATATTTAATTGCAAAGTAATGCATTGAATAACACTGGGATGTTTGCTGAAAAGGATTGGCTGGCCCTCCCCCCAAAACAATCCACCTGCTGCCACTGCCGGGGGCCCTCCCTCTCCGTCCGGCTCCCGCCCTCTAAATTGGCTGCCGCCGGCAACTCGCAGGAGATGGTTTGAATGTGATTTCTTTTATTTATTTATAAATCCGGCTATTCATACTACGTCGCCAACGGCTATACATACAGAGCTGCA